GTGTATATATAAACATATAAAGATAGATGTATTTGTCCATGTATACATGTGTGTATATATACATAATATACATATATATATGTAAATACAACAAGGAAGCAGATGGACTTTCAACCTCTACTTAAATCTCACCTCAGTATAAGAAAATGTTTTTATCTAATAATGTGGCACTGTATGATACTCACCTTCCAGACACAATTGCTGAAGACAAAATGGGTGCATAAGCAAATGTGGTGAAGAGAACTAATTGTACCCAGTTATTACAAGATATAGCATCTGGGGTCTTAAAGGTTTGAAATTAAACAAGCAGCCATCTAGTGGGGAAGCAAACAAGTGCACATGGAAGAAGCACACCAGCCTGTGTGACCATGAGGTGTCAACAGGAGTAGGTATCAGAAGTTCAAAAAACCCCAATACAATTGATGTGAAGGATCCTGGACAAAGTGGAGACCCAATACCCACCTGTAAGATAATTAGACATTTCCTCACAGAAGGGCCACAGGGAAGGCATGATATATCTAGGATGTGGTATATCACTGATGAAATACATCTAGTTCTTTAATATTTTGTCCCCTTATTTTGTTTTACCTCATTAATCTTGTTAGACCTGCATAGGTCTGTTTGTATAGTTAAGATCATTCAATACATGAAAGCCAAGATAGATAACCCTTCAGAAACAGTAATGGGAGTAGTGATTCCCTGAGGGCACAGGAAGAAAAGTGGGGAGAAAGGGGAGATTCAGGAACTGATAGCAATGATGACTATTTAACTCCACATGAGGAGAAGGAACAACAGAATTGCAGGTGGCCTGAGGCTAGGGAGAGGAATAATTTTTAATGAATATAAGGCTTCTTTTGGGGGTGATTAAAATGTTCTCAAATTAGATAATGGTGATGGTTGAGTGACTTTGTAAATACAGTAAGAACCCCACATCACACAATTTAAAGGGGTAGATTTTATGGTATGTGGGCTGTATCTCAATTTTAAAAATGCTAGTACCTGTTTGCTATGTGTTGAATTATGTCCTCTCAGAATATGTGCTATAAATCCTAATTGCTATACCTGTTGTTATAATCTCATTTGGTGATGGGTTTTCTTTGCCATGGTAATGAGGCAATAACTTCATAGGATGTGTCTTAAGCTGATCTCTCTTGGATATAAAAAGAGTCCATTGAACAAGCAACAAAGCAAGCAAGCAGAGATGGGAGACAATAGATGCCGTGGAGTATGGAAATCACCAAGGGGCCATGAATAGAAACTCAAAAGTAACAATGACTCTTTCCCAGAGTCGATAAAACCTTCCTCTAGTCCTAAATCTGTGAGAACATAACTGCCTGGTCATTTAAGCCACCCCAACCATGGTATTTCTGTTACAGCAGCATTAGATAGCTAAGCCACCCTCTTTTCTTTTGACCTGTATGTTGAAAAAATTTTACTATTTCTTAGGGCTCATGAGAAAGTAATATTTCTTTTCACTTTTTAATGTTACCGGGATCTCTTTGGAGCAAAAGAGAAGGGGAAAACCCCAAGAATTTGACTGTAGTGCCTTTTGAACCCAGGAAGAATCAGAGAAAACTGACTACAAATCACTTCTATAGCCACCATCCTATGACATGTATTTCAGATCAGACCTCTTAAACTGGAGCACCAGGTCTTTTTAGCAGAGGCATCATGGGGTGGGGAGGGAACGGAGGTGGGTGGGGGAGTGTGTTTGTGTGTGTGTGTGTGTGTGTGTGTGTGTGTGTGTGTGTGTGTGTAAAAACCCAGCAGCGCAAGGGAAAGGCTAATGGTGACACTCTGGAGTGGCATTTTATTTGGTCATACAGTCCAAGACGGTCCTCACTGAAGCCCAGTTTGTCAAGAAATTGTTGATAAGTGTCAATCTTGTTGTATCATCAAATAAGAACAGACCTTCTGGCATTAAACACATTATTTCTTTAATTTAATTTAAAATATATATTAATCTTTCTCTTCTCAATAGCACGACCTTTAAAACATTATTTTGGTTTGTTAGTTAAACAGACCAAAAATAATTTCTTATCACTAATGTACTTCTGTGAAGATATCAAGTGACATCTCTTTTCTCTTTCCTATCCGTTCCTGACTGCATATGTGATAAGTTAGGCTGTTTCTTAGAAATATCAATGGCCAGACCTCAACCCCATATACATTCTGATTTAGAAAGCCTCAATAGCAGCCTGAGTAATAGTATTTTAAACAAAGACAAAACTTGTCTAGTGATTGAAAGTGCAATGGAGGTGCCTGCACCTACTCTTGCTGACCACCAGTATTAGACCAGACTGTACCTACAGTGGGGCATACAGGGAGGTCTGCCCTGAGCCTCAATGGTTTATGAGTAACAAGATGCTGCCTAGCATCATAAGTTCAGACTCCTTTATTATTATGGGAGCCTCATAGATTTCACTAAAGAATGTGAGAGGTTGTACCATGGTGGTCATTGGTTGTTACATAGGTCATGCTTAGGTCACACAAAATATTGGCCAAAGGACCTTTTAAAATAAATTGGATCAGCTGTTCTGAATCCATTAAGAAAGGAACTCAGGCTTAATAGTTATGAGCTGTTTGGCAAGAATTAGAGAAGCAAAAAGGAAAAAAATCAGAGCAGCCGGCAAATAGCTTTTGTTGTATGGCAGAGTTACGTCATTAGGTGCTTTATATTATTTCTGTATTTTAGCATTAAAATATACATACCAACTTTCTTTCATTTTACTTTAATGAAATACAATTCACCACGAATAAATTTAACCTATTTGGAGGGCGGGGCTCATAAAGTTTGATAAACATGAGGGTAGTAAAAACATATTATCACCAGGGGTCCAGTTCATATAGGCACAGGTTTATTCTAAACAAAGCATATTTACTATGTCTCTGTGATCAGAGGAAGGCTGCAGGTAAGTTCTCTCAGAAATACACTTGGCTTTGTCTTATAGAGTGTCTTCACTGTACTTTTTGTGCTATGAGAAAAGCACAATTTTGAGGTCAGGGTTAATTTTGTTTGTAATAAAGTGCAAGTAGACATCTTCCCAAACCATTGAAGATTTGTGACAACTTTATAGAGTTGATGCCCACATGAAACACTTTTTAGATGGATCCAGTATTTTCAGGAAGGTGGGAAAAACCTCAAATGAGCCAAGGGATGGAAGACAATCCCCTCTGGCAAAGGCAGACACTGTAGCAGCAGTCTGCAAATAGGTGGAAGGAAACCATACAATCATGATTGCTGCAACAGGGACTAAATTTGCTATCTCACGTGGTTCGGCATGTTCATGCACACTTTTGCATTTGTTTCCTTCACTCAGTTTAATGAGTTGTTTAGATTTGTTCATATATTATTGCATTAATCAGTGTCCTTTAAAAAAATAATTACCAAGAGTATTATTATTGTATTACATTTTGTGTATTCATTCATCCGTGGATCAATATTGCATGGACTATTGTTTGTGGCTGTAGCATTTGCATATAGTCTTTGTGCGAGTCCATATTTTCATTTCTTTTAGACAAATGCTTAGAAGTGAATTTTTTTGGTTTATAAGAAAATATAAATTTGTTTTCCAAAGTCCTGATAATATTTGACATTCTCAATAATATTTTATGAGAACTCCAGTTACTAAACATCTTTACCACCATGTGTCTTGCGATAGCCTTTTAAAATTTTAGCCATTCTAGTCTATTTGTAGTAGCACGATACTTTGATGTTAACTTCCACTTCTCTGAATACCGAAGACTTTAAATAAGCAGAGACTCCTCTTTATAATTGACATTATATGGTTATTTTGCCATTTAGTATATTATGTGCTGTTGTCTGGAAAAGAATATCTGTTATATTATAACTATTTATTTTTAATCCCTATCTTACATTATATTTTGTGGGAGAAAAAAGATGGGGCTTTCTTCTCTCGTAAAGAGTTAGTCTTGGAAACTCACAGGGGCACTTCCACCCTGTCCTACCAGGTCACCATGAGTCGGCATCGACTCAATAGCAATGAGTTTTATTTTGGTTGTTATATACTATTTTAAGATGAATACATGTACATTTTTTTCAAGTCTATTGGATAAGTATATTTGAACATTTTTTTCTCAGCATCTACTACATACAGAAGTAAATAACCATGAGATTCCAGTTCAAAAGGACCGAAATTGTAAGCTAGATTTAAAGTGCTGTATTTAAAAAAGAAAACAAAAATACAGATTGTATTTTGGGGCAATTAAAATTCTTTCATTTTTGAAAGGTCAAACTAAAAAGAATGAAAAACACATATGGGATCATTATTCTATAATTCTTCTATTTTATTCTAAAAAGGGTCTTTTTCAGAGATAGTGAGCTGGTCCAATTTATACTTCAGACCTTTGTTTATCTGTACTCAACCAGAAATTTCAGTGGCTACTATGCCAGTTAACCTAAACTTCTTCGAAACAAGAACACTATCCTAAAACTCTGAAGTCACACCTTGTTTATGTCCCTCAAGAAATGCATAGTCTTTGAAAGAGTCAGAAACAGTAGTAAACTAGAGTTTGCTGAGAGTAGAGGTACTCTGGCTCACGTGCATCCACAATGGGGTCAGCCGCAGAAGAGCAGCAAGCATGATTAACCATGAATACAATCATGACCAACATTTGTGGAACAAGTTTTCCTCTCAATAAAAAAGCGAGTCCAAAAAGGTCTCAAGACTCTATAAAGACATCATTTCTAGATCACAGTGAAAAGAATTTAATACAACTGACCAATTTTGTTTACTAGTTGCCATAGAGATAGATATCTCACAAAAAAATTGGTATTGAACAGAACAGAATGACATTGTAGAATGTAATATTGTGTCAATACTGAGATGGATTGTTATAGACATATCAAACCCTTTGAGTACGAAATGGTTACATTGTATTTATATGGAACATTGGTCCAATACCATAGAAATGGAGAGCTGCCACAGGAAATACATCTCCCTCAATGTTCAGAGATAAAAAGGTTAACCATTCTCCCATTATTTTCTGTAGGTAAGTCCTTTTTCATATTGAAATCTGATGGTGATTAATTTCTGGCACTGTTCCAAGCTACTGTGTGAACAGGATGCTGAATGCCATCACAATACAACCTGCTGCAACATAAGGACTCTTCCATTCACCAATTCTGGCACACTTCCAAAATTTACCCAATAGTCCAGTTTTATTTCTATCCAGGACGCTGGGAGCCAAGGATCGACTATAAGCACAGGCACATGTAAGCAGCAAGATTACAGTCAACAGACTCTGAAAATTGAAGAAGGCAGACATAGTGAGGCCGGCGAAGCCGCAGCCACATCACCCTTCTGGGCCCCGGGCGGAGGTACATTTCTTTTTATAAATGATGGGTAATTTTTTTCTACCATGATACATTGACAAATGGCTTACACCAACATATTTCTTCGTATTAAACTCTTCTTGCTTTACTGGAATAAATCCCACCTAAACATAACAGAGGGTTATTTAGTGACAAGGTTAAGCAGTTTTCTTTCCTATAGGTTTTTAGAATTTTTCAGAAGTGAATGATCTCTTGACCTCCTGGAAGGGACATTTTGTAAGAGAATTTCCCAGAGCATTTTGACTGGAATCTCTTTCTTATGTAGCACTTGCTAACTTCTCTCTAGTTGTGGAACGAAAGCACTGACCAATAGTGTTACCTATAATCCTGTCTATATTTAATGCTCATACATAGTGGCCTAGTGTTGAGGAGAGGAATGATGGCCCAGAATAAGTTCTCATATCCCATTCATATAGAACCAGGACAGTTTCTTAGAGTTGTTCCTACAGATGTCTTTCTCCTTTAGCCCCATCCATTTATGGTCAGAAAATCAGCTTAATGTCATAAGAATATATTACGATCATTCATCTTTAATAAGGTCTATAGAATCAATTGCATAGCTTCTTGTGATTGATGCTTTGAAATACAGTTTACAGAATTCTCAGAGGACTGAGAAAGAAGTGGTTAAGTGGTACCTTTTCTTCCCAAGAACACATAACTAAAAAACCGACAGTCAGCCTGGAACCTGATCCACCTTGCCCTGCTGCTTTTACATATGCTACAACCTTTGAAGACTTGGTTTATCTAATTGGCATGTAAACTACATCTCTCAGGTGTTCCATCATCTACCTGTTTAAATGACCAAATAGTTGTTTCCACTAACTGTTTACCTCTCTATATATATAGCCTAGACTACACCAAACAAATCACAAACCTGTGAGTTCTGGAACCAGCCCCAACTCACTGTCTTAATCTCTTGGCTTCCTTGCCTATAAAATGAATACAATCGTCTCTACCTCATAGGTTTTGTATGGATTGAGTGGCATAGCATTTTATAGCTTAGAGAAAGTCTGTAATATAGACAGTGATCAGTGTAATTTAGTCATTGGTGTTACCACTATTATTATGCTACTCTAATGAAGACATACCAATCAAATACTGAGAGCTAGGAGTTAAGTTCTTCCACTTCACATTGTACTCTAATCCCAGCCCCCAAAACTCATTTGTCAATCATTTGTCATATAATAGAATCTTAAATCATTTTTCCTCATTCTACTTTGCCAACATTCCTTTTAAAGGGATTGAATATTGAACACAATGACTTGGGTCCAGCCAAAAGAGAATAAGAAAGAACCACGATGCTTCTTGTTCTGGAGGTCACAATCTAGAGCAAGATAATCTCCGTTTTCATGGCAGCCACATCACTGTGTAGATCTATGATCCTCCAGAGAGAAGAGGTGAGGGCGAAATTTCAAAGTGTTGGTTTTTGATATGTAATCTAATAAAGCAATCTCAATAATGAAAGTATGAACAATGGATTATACAATGATTCTTATTCATGACTGAATGAGTGAATTGTATGCTATGAGAATTATATGTCAATAAAACTTTTTTTAAAAGGAATAAAATGATGCATTATATTGGGTAAGAAAAAAGTATGAAAAAAATTTAAGTACACTGTTTTCTTAATATGAGTCACATTCTATAAAGCCTTTTAGAATCTTCCTATGGGCTCAGCAACTACCTGAACAGGCATGTGATATTCTAACTGGGCTTGAAACCATTTTTATTTCTTTTTACTTGCTTGGCCATCTACTAATTAGCAAGCGGCTCATGAAGATGCAAAAGATAGAAATCTCCTATTCTTACCTTTTGCTAGTTGACAACATGCAGACTTTCGGCCAATCCCATATAAATGGTGAAAACATGATTCCAGTTCAGCCTGTAAAGTTAATATTCTAGTCAATCCAGTTGGTCACTGTGTTAGACCAGGTTGACTAGAGTAATAAATCCAGAGATATTCATATGTGTGTAAGAGAGAGCTTTATATCAAAGCAATTGTATATTGAGAAAACATTCCAGCCAGTCCAGATCAAGTCTATAAATTTGAAATTAGCCCATATGTCCGATAGTAGTGCATAAATTCCTCTTCACACTCACACAGTACATACAATGATGGCTTATGCAGGAAGATCGCAGGCCGGTGGGTGCAGCGCCATGTGGATCCAATGACAGCAGACATATCTCCAGAGCTCTGGCTGCCATCAGTGTGGCTCCATGTAGCTTGTCCATAGGAAGGTGAAGCAGAGAGAGAGAGTAGCCCACCTCCAGGTCAAAAGAGGATGTTCCTAGAATCCTCATGAGCAGGCCCCACCCATAAGGAGTCATCATCAGGCTGTGACCTGATTGACAGGCTAAGATTACTGGGCACCCTTCAGGCTGTGGTACATAACCACCATGAGTTGGAATGACTTGGCAGCAATGAGCTGTTGATATCTTGGGGTTAGAACTTGTTGCTAACCAAAAGGCTGGCAGTCTGAATGTATCCAGTGCATCTGTTGGAGAAAGGCTGGGTGACATGTTTCCTGAAGGGAAAGAAAAAAAAAAAGATGTGTGGAAGGGGAATAGGGCACTGACCCACCCAAGGAGAGGGTATTATTTGTGTCTCAACAGGGACAGAAGGACCAGACTTAAAGCCAGTGCCAGATGAATGCAGCATGCCAGCAAGGAGTGTGGAACCAGTGGAAGGGCCTGAGGGCTGGGCCCCCATACCAGCTACGTGGACAACTGCCCCTTCCCCCAGAAGAATTTACTTTAGAGGATGGCACTGACGCTGCAGCTAGGAGAGAGAGGGGCATGTCTGATCAGAGCACATGGGAGCAAATGAAGGGGGAGGAAGAGAGAGTGGAGCACATCCTGGCCCACCAGGCCTGG